TTTTTTTTTTTTTTTTTTGGGGGGGGGGGGGTGGAGGGGAGGAGGAAAATATGATGAATAGATGTGATAAAATATATAATTTCTGCAAAATACCAAAGATTGTTTGCCAGAGTTTTTTTTTGATAAACTATCACTGTAGAAGTTTGTCATTAACTTATTGTTATTATTATTATTATTATTATTATTATTATTATATTATTGTTATTGTTATTAGTATTGTTATTATTATTATTATTATTATTATTATTATTATTATATTATTATTATTATTATTATTATTATTATTATTATTTTTCATTATTATTATTATTATTATTATTATTATTATTATTATATCAATGATATTATAATAACAGTAATACCAATAACTAATACTTATTATTATTATTATTATTATTATTATTATTATTATTTTCATCTATTAACTGTTAAAAATACTATCATTGGCCGTCGTTTAGGTTCTGCATTTCTTTGTCAACATATTTTAAATTCTGAATTACTTACTTTAAGTAGTTTGAAAAATCCTTACTTTGTTTATAAAACAGATTCAGTGTGTAAGAGGTGAATATGAAAATGTGATTGCTGTCACCAATGACATAATCAGTCTTCTTTTTTATCAGTCAATTTTTTTTTGATAATCTTTTGGTTTTAAAGCTTTACTTATGAAATTATGAGTAAAATATTTTTAACTCTAGTTTGCATTAAAAAAAAATTTAAAAAAATTGAAGAAAAAAAAAAGCAGGATTTTGAAGAAATTATAAATGACGTGGTTATTATTTAAGCTCTGCAAATAAAACTATTTGTTTTTAGCCTTAATTGTCGTTGCTTTTTTGCAGTTAATTAGCAGGTTAGTTCTTTTTGATTGCCACTATTTGATACTACTAAAGAATATTTTAGAAAATTTTACTTATTTTAAGAAACAATTTTTTAATTGATTGTTGCAAAAAAAATAGTGAAAGTTTCGAAATTAATTAAAGCCTTTTTTTTTCTTTTGAACATTTATTACTTAGAAAAAGCAATGCTTAGGAAAAAACAATTACTGTTTGACATATACTTAAAATGAATACAAAAAATAACGGTTTTTTTAAAACCTTTTTTTTTTGCATTTATATGCTAATAATATCAGAAATAATAGAAAAAGACTATTTCAGGTTTGTGTAAAAGTACAAAATTTATTTGTTAAAGTAACCGATAAACTAACCTTACGTTCTCTGCACTTATTTTTGGAAAACTCCTTTACCATGTACTTTTATGCCAATTTTAAGCCATTATTTATCTATTCCGCTTATTAGGCAAGTTTGGCTACTAAGTTTTCAGCAGGAATTTTGCAACTTTTCTTGTTTCTTCGCTGTATCACTGTTAAACTTAATTGTTTGAAAATGAATTGTATAGAAGAAGTACAAATTGGTAAAAAAAGTTGTCATTTTTGATAAGAAAACTTCAATTCTAAGCATATAAACTTGGCATAAATTTTTTTTCAAGCTGTATTTTTAGTTACTTCCTTTTCTTTAACGTAAAAGAAAGGCTTTTACATGAGAAGAAATAAAACTGTCCATATTAAATGACCCGTCTAGTCATTCATCTTCTAAAAGATAATAAACTTTTTTTTGGTATTTAAAAAGTGCTCCTACCATGACGAAAAGAAAAAAAAGTTCTTTTTAAAAGTTTAATGTTCTTTTTTTGAAAAAATTTTTCAAAAGTTTATTTCTCTTTTTATTTTTTTCAACCTTTTCAAATCCATTTTCACTTTTACTTTAGAGATATGACAAGGCATCAAAGGCTAAAACATTGGCTCGGATATTTTTGTAACAGAAACAATTCAGATGTGCATAATTGTTTCATCAGAAGACTCCGAATCAGCAAGAACAATTTTTGGAATACCAATTAAACATAGGTTAAGAAACAGTAAAACTGTGAGGTACAAGCTGTCAAAGAATGACCATTAAAAACTAGGCAGTAAAACAGGTTTGCAGAATATAAAGCAGTGAAGAATTAGCGAAAAAGTAGTAATTTTTCTTTTTACTTTAATTGTAAAAGTTAGTTCAGGCTGCCTACATTGAATTCTTGGAAGTTTACGTTACCACCTAAAAAAAAGCTGATAATGAAGAGGTCGATTGAACTGATAACGCATACGACTATGCCCTAACTGTAAAATTCTTGGTCAATAGCAGCAATAAATAATACCTGCTCAGATCAGTAAATTACAGATGTTGGTAGTTATCCACATATTCATTTGTATATTTGTCCCAAATAAAGTTTAAATGATTAAAAAAATTTTAAATTCAACAATTATAAATTAAATTATTGCTAATAACCAAATGCAGCGCAACTTCCACAAATTTTGATCGCCTGGCCTTTATTAGTAGATCACTCTTAATCACCTAAGTATACAATTGACTGGTATATATATATATATATAT